CAATACCTTTGATTTCTTAATGGTTTGTATGTAGTTTCTCTGCTGGCCTTGAGATGCTTAAGGATTTAGAAAGAGAATGTTACTGTGGGAAAAATACATTACCACTATGAAAATATTTTTTGTGCATTTTTCCTCACCATATTCAAAGATGAGAATTATTTATAGGTAAGACTAAAAATGTAACAGACAGCTTCAGAAACCATTTCCTGAACAGGACCCAGACCTCTAATTTTGTTTCCCTGTCAGCAGTGATAAAAAGTAATCATTTATGCCTCATAGCGCAGAGAAGGGCAAAAACTGGTAGGACCAGTTTTATAGCATCAGTTCTCTGAAGGAATGTAGGAAAATACACAACTCATTTGATGCAACATTCTGGAAAGGATGCTTCCACTCATAACTATACTGACAGATGGTGAAAATAGATCTGCTGTATCCACAGGCTTCCATTTGACTTTGCTCAAATCTACAGGCTAAAAAAAAAAAAAAAAAAAAGGTAAATGAAGAATGAAAAAAAAACCAAACAAGATTATCACTTCGCAGTAAAATATTCAAATAGGGTAAAACACAGATGTAATAGTCACACAAATGTGAAACAGACATTACCCTTTCAAATCATAAGGCAACCTAGATTATTGTACTATACCGCAGTATGTCTCATCAAGCCAGCAACAACACAATTAGTACAGCTGTGAACTGAAGAAGCTGCCACTTTGCAAGCTTTGTCATCATGGTATCTTACAGCAGATAGAACCCTCAACCAGCAAACTGTATTCTCTTTGTTAACCTAAGAACCACTTTCAGTTACTAAGAGATGCCTTTAACACTACTCCCCTCCTTTCTCCTTTTTTTTTTTCTTTTTTTTTTTTTTTCTTTCCTTTTCTTCCTTCTTGAAAGGATATTGTTCTCACTCTGGTAATATTTCTTCTTCCTGTCTAGTCACAGTGGTGTTTCTGCTGCTCAAGTAAATGTAAGGCCCTTATACAATTGTGCTTTGATGTTAATTTATCTGCTCGCTCACACAGAGCTGCCTTGTAAATGCCATTGTTTTAGCTGTGTTAATGCACTGATTAACTCCCAAGCCACACAAAAGCACTGCAGAAATATGAGTAGTAGTCCTGCCCCATCATCATGTTTGTAGCTTTTCATGCCCAACAGTACAACCCCTTGTACAGTATACAGAAGAGCTTCCTAGCATACACTATATATAGCTGTATACTGCTTAGCAGTTAAGCAAACTGAGACACAAACAACAAAAACAAAACATGCAAAACACAAGCAAAAAGAAAGGCAAACACATGCACTAGCCGAACTTAGGAACGTGTTTTACACTGCTTATTTTTTCAGTTTCTGCTAGCTTCTTCTATGGATGAAGGTCTGACAGAATTTTCACTAATAAGCCCAAATTTCAGTGCAATGTACTACAACTGACAAAATACACATTTAAACCATAGAGAGTGGTGTTTTTGTCTTTCTGATTTAAAACCACTTTCTCAAGGCCACCTCACTAGAAGCACACAGAGCAACACTGAGAAAATAACAGCAGTTGAAAATACACTCCAGCTTAGCACTGAATCATGGAAATTAACAGAGCAATTAGCAAACACAGAAATAAAAACTCTTACAGAAGCAAGAATCTGTGAAAGATAGAGGGCTTGGCATTAAACAGCAAGACATAAAATACAGAAAAATGTATGATCAAAGACAGCAGGAAGCAAATTAAATATATTACTGAAGATAATGCTCTGATGGTAAGATAATGCGTATGACCACTGAAGAGGGTGGTTTTCTATTCAGACTGGTCTACAATTTTCCCATTCATTTTGCAGGCTAATGGGACTTGAAATCAGTGGTTTGCTCAGGGGACCCCAAAACAGTAACACAATGTTTAAGAAATCAGAATTATACTTCAAGGGACCTGAAACAGATTGTGGACATACAAGATTGTGGACATTACATTTCACTGTAAGAAAAGGAAAAAGGGCCAATGGATGAGGCAAAACCCAAGAACTTGCCATTTTCCTTCTCCCACACTAAAACCAATACTAATAGAAATAAACTAGGGCTCTCCAAATGCACTATACTATGTATACTCTGCATTGAAAATTAAAAGAATAGACTTAACCTAATGAACCAAACCAATGAAAACAGTAAATTCAGCAAGAGAAATGATTGACCGCTTGTTACAATCCAAATGTTCTAGCAGAGGAAGCACAGGTTTTATTTTATCTTGAAAAATTGTGATAAGAGTACACCCTTGCTTTCTTTATTGTGAATTATGATGCCTTTCAAATTCAGACATTGAATATCATGTAAGGCCTTTCAATGAACCCAGGCATCTAGAAAGATACTTTAAAACTTGCCTACTCATCTGGATGTGAAGATTTAGTGGCAAGAAAGAAAACTGTCCTTACCAGCTGGATAAAACATTCTAGTGACTCACTGGCTCTGAAATTTGCAACTCGCTGATAGCCCCCTGTCCAGTTACTTCAGTGAATTAACCCAAACTCTCCCAGACAGCTTTGTTTAAATAGCTTGATGTTATGTACAACTCCAAAACATTTATTGCTAGAACATTTTAACCAGTCCCAAACAGTGTTTTTATATGTTGGTGGGGTGCCTTACAACAATTTCTTTAAGAGAAATATGACTGTTTGAAATTAATTGAACAAGAATTTATTTTGTTTCTGTATACAAAATTAGACGAAAATAGCTAAGGTATTTTTCAGATCAACATTTGGTAACTCTTATTCTATCAGAATTTTGTGGAAAACTTAACATGCACACACACAACTCTTCAGTCTATTTTTTTCCCCTCTCCCAACCTCATTGAATTAACAAAATTAAGAGTTTATGGATGCTCCATGATTTGCATTAAATTCAGCAGTAACTTGATACTATAATTGCTGTAATCTCTTATACCTGTTTTCCTACTTGCTGTTTTCTTCTACCCTTGTCAATGAACATTAAAGCTTATCAGTATTTTAAGGATAAAAAGATATATTTTACCATTTCTAACAAAACATTTCAATATTCTTACACTAGCAGTACCATAGAATCCTTCCCACTCCCCTAAGACTGAAGGAGTTGTAAACATGAAACTTGGGAAAGTCAAAATGGAGAAAATTCCACATTATATGGTATAACTAAGAGATAGGATGTTGAACAACCACTAGTAGACCAAAAGTTAATGTTGTTTTTAGATTTCCAAACATTTTCATATAAAATATTAATAAAAATTGAAGTTAATCCCCCTCACATGCACCCCTTCCTCCTCCCAACTATCACCTGCCTTATGCTAGAAGTAACTTTAAAATGATCCCCATTTCCCTCCAACAATTGCACATTAAGACATGGACTTAAAAGAACAACATAATGTTTCAAGTATGCTTCATGCCAATCGTCAATAAGAGTCATAACATTACTGAAAAAGTACACTTGTTCTTTGGAAGCCTGAGAAGAACTTCCTGCAGAGTGTGGTCAAACAACGTTTTAAATACGAAAATAGCCCCCAGCCCAGTACCCAGCTCACCCTCTCAAAAACAGTAAAGTGTAAAATTTTCTTTGGACTTAAAGAAACAGTATTAAGATCTACTATTTGAATAAGAAATAACCCCAATAGGAATTTAGTTTTACAGTGCTACACAAACAGTGCGTATGAAACAATAAATCATACAGATGCTACTGTTCAACACTATACATAGAGCACATGTGGCAAAAAGCATATACATGACATATACTGGCCTGTCCAGAAATAAGATACATCTTTTAAGGCTGGTAAATCTGAATAAACTTTTGCATCCAGAAGTATGTATTTTTTTTCTTCTTTTCTCTTTTCAGTAGGGGTTTTTGTTTCAGCAACTAGTGTTCAGTCATTAGAAAGGTAATGATTTCATCAGGAAACCATCAGCAAAGTGACAGCGCCAAATTTTGTTTTCATAACAAAAACATTACACTTCCTCTAATTTATCATACATGAACAAGGATTCCCATTTTAAAGAACAAAATATAGCATGAAAGAAAACTCGTTTTTATAGGCAAGAAATCCTTCTGGAAGCACAAGCATGTTACTGAATCTGGGAAGTGTAAAACACAGGGGTGTGTGTGTATATTTATATATGTGTGAATATGCATACATATACACACACATATATGATATATATATTTATCCCAACATGTAACTGTATAACAACCAATTTTTTATTTTCAAATAAAGGTTTTTAATTTAGCAGTTGTAAAAAAAAAAAAAAAACCAACAACAAAAAAAACCACAAACAACAAAAACAAAATCCCCAAACAGGCTAAGGAGACCATCTACTACATGAACAAACAAAAAATGTTATGTCAATAGTTTTATGGTAAGAAGCAAAGAGTGCAGAAACTCATAGTAATAAATAGCTCCAAATTAAGAATTTTCTACAACATTTCCTTAGAAGACAGGATCAGTATTTCTTCTTTTATGATGATCCTGCAGAACACCTTCACTCATATATATTTAATTTTATAACATTAAAACAGACAAAAATGCAGACTGCAAAAAATTCTGGATTCAGGACAGCGTACATAACATTTTTTTTTGTTAGAAATCCTAATGGTTCATTCACTAAGGCTAGACAGGAAGTCATATGATCCTATTTGGTGCATTTTCTACCATGACCAATATCAATAAATGGATAGAGCCAAGGACCTGCGGTCCAACCTGCCATGGTCCAACTTTGGCAGACTGGAGGCAAAATTTAGGACGATCGTTTGGTCCCTCACTTTGTATCTTGATTCCTGGAAGTGCAGAAATGAAAACAAGACTACAGTGTTTTCATTGTCTAGAGAAAGTTAGCAAGAAGTGGGATTTCAACATGAATAAGATTACTAGGTTTTTGATGAGACTGAATCAAAAAAGCATACATGGAATACCACTACTTGCAACATCTGGTAGTGTCATTCGGTGACTCACTGACTTTGAAATACATGTATGCAGTAATAAATAGATCAGTAATGCAATAAGGCAGTGTGTTGAACATGCATTCATCTTGTGGACTGGAACACCACAAAGAGATACATGATACCATACACATTCATTAAGACCAAGTTTTCTGTTTGTTTTTGTGTTTGATTTTCAAGGCTATCCAGGTAAACTCTTCCAGAGCATTTTCTTGTTGAGAAGAGCAGTCCTCTGAGTCTTGTCACTTTTCCTCTTCTTTATCAAGAGATGATGACTGGCTTTAATGAAAAATAAAACTGAAAGAGGTTGTTTTGTTTCTCCACCATTTTGGTTGCATCATTCTGAATGTTTCATTTAGAGAACAGTTTTAGATGCATCCAGATGCTGAATCCTCAGGAGGTTCCAGATGTTTCCAGATAACTCTGTAGTTTTCGGACTGTGGTTTTGTCCAGTGAGCAAAGATCAAAGTCAAAGGTTGTATTTGTGATATGAAAGTGTCCAGTTTCCTCTATAAGATTTACTATCTGAAAGGAAAGAAAAGACACAGCTGAAAATTTCAGTAGTATCACACTCAATGGAGTGTATTAACATGACCCGAAGTATCATATGAATGGCATAAAATAAAACCACTTCATTAATATATGCATATTAAACCATTATCCTTATCACTATCTGACACAGAACCATAGTCCAGACCACAGTTTTTCTTTTTTTTTTCTTTTTTCTTTTTTTTTTTAAGAACATTAACATCTTCATATTTTTAAGGTCAGTCTTTACCTCGAAAAATAAACAAAAAACCCCATCTTGATTAAAAAAAAAAAAAAACAACAACCTTCATCTGTAATCATACAAAACAAAAAACAATCACCGTAACAACAAACAAACTAGGTAGATCTCTATGGAATACATACTTTGTGCTTAGCTGCCAAACAAATTACTTTAGAAAATAACTGGCATAAACCTTTCCACAAGGAAGAAAAAGAAAGAAATCCTTACAGAAGCTAGTCTAAATTAAACAACAACAACAAAGCACTCAAGAGCTCTCACATCTATGATTAGCTCGTGTACTAGTATTATTTTCCTTAAATAACGTACTTAATTTTTTTGTAGAAACAGATGAACCATGAAGGACTAATACTAATGGTTAAAATCTATGGTGACTACTTAATCTATAATCACAGTTTTCATTCCAAGAAGAAACAGAAGAGCTGTTACGAGTCCTTGAGAAGATCAAGAACTGGTGCACTTCATCTGTGATGAAAGGCTGAGAGAGGATTTGTTCAGTCTGGAGGAGCAAAGGCTATTGGCAATGTATTTCATATGTAACTACCTGAAGAAAGGGTGCAAAAGGGGATGAATCCACATTCTCTTTTATGGTGCCCAGTGATGGAACAAGAGACAACAGGCACGAACTAGAACACAGTGGTTTCTGTATAAACACTAGGAAATGTTTTTTTTCTTCTGATGGTGACAGAACACTGGCATGGCTTGCCCAGAGAGATCGTGAAATCTCTCTCTTCAGAGATCTTCAAAAGCCACCTGGACATGGGCCTGGACAATCTGCTCAGGGTAGCCCTAAACACTGGGTTAGGACAAGAAGATCTCCAGAGGTTTCTTCCAAACTCATTAGTCTGTAATTCTGTGTAACCAACATTAATATCCTAGTTGTATTTCCACACTTTCAACATTTTGTAGACACCTAATTGTAGTGTGTATTTTTAAAATGCTCATTTTCAACAATGAATTTCCTGTAATGAGTAACTCCATGTATACTATATCCTAGAATTTTCACCCACCTAAACATACACTCAGCATCCTGGAAAGCTGAAGTATAATTTATCAGACCGGGCTAACATGGTGCCCACACTATAGCTATTGGTCTCTTATGCATTTCTACATTCCAAGAGACTTATATTCCAAGAGAGCACATGAAAAGACACACCATCCTGAAAAGAGTCTCTTTGTACTGGACTGACAGAATATTGCTCGTCTGCTTCACCCTCCCAAACATTTCTTCCATGCTCAGGCTAGTATCAGTATTTCTGCCCTTCCATTTGAAACCCACATTGTTCTAGGGTTTCCAGATAGACCTCTACTGAAATCCCGTTTCTAGATATTGCTTTATTACTCCAATGAGTTTTTCTGTTGCTGAATGAGATACCTATTAACTCATGGCTAACAGAATATACCTTAAAATAATAAATCTGGAAGGACTATACCACCTTAGAAAAGAACTAAATGTTGGAACTAACTCTGTTATAATTTCTCCTGCTCCGTTTCATTATGTAATGAGCTTTTTTTTTTTTCTTTTTTCTGTTCAGACCACAAGAAGAGAAGATTATGTTGGTGATAAATGAAATAACTTCATGTATACTGTCAGATATGGAATGATACAGCCCAGGGTAGATTAAATAGATTGGAAATGAGAAAACATAAGGAGGAAAATGCTTGTTACAGTAAAAATCCCTTTCCAATCATTGCTTTCTACTTTCCACAGGCTGAGAAAAAAAACAAAACAAACCCAACTTAATGTCTAATTTCCTTTGCAGATGTCCAAACTGAAAGTACAAAGAACAACCCTCCCCTTATTAGCACTTCATTTAAATCTGTGCCACTTGATTTTTTTGTTTGTTTGTTTTTTCCCCATTGGGAATTTTTAGTTTAAACTTGCAGATTTCATTTGTCCACTTATTGCTTCATTGGTTCTTGTAACACTTTTCCATCTCCTACTGTCCTACAACCAACATGAGAGAAAAATTCAAATGGAATACAACTAATTGTTACCAGTGGAAAACTTCCACATGTATCATTCTTATCTTAAGGCACTCTCTGAAGCCTCATTTAAGAGAGAATCCTACTTTGTAAAGTTAGGTATCTAATCATAGACTTGGTCCCCAAATATCCACTGTATGATAAATAACTGGCTGCGAAACTTTACAGAAGCTGTGGCCAAGAGGACTTAACAGTGTTAAACAATTCTGCCTATGCTTTGTGGAAGAACAGCACCTCCCGAAATCCCCACAGCAATATTCCTGATTTTAAGAACAAAGATTACACTGATGTGTTACCACATGTATTTTTAAGCAGCACTGCATATTTAAAAAACAAACAAACAAACAAACCCGATAAGCACTTTTTACTGATTAGGTTCTGCTTTGGGCTTTTAAGCCCTAGACCAAAGGAAATATAAACATTTTTAATATATTCCTCATTCTGCCCTCACAAAATATAGCCACTGTGTCAGGGCACCACACAGAAACCACAGTAAAGAAGACTGAAATGAACCCCAAAAGCTTTAATGGATATATATAAATATATCAAGATAAACCCAGACAGCTCAATGAAAAACATCTGCCTGTGTGCCCATGAATGAGGAATTCATGAGTTACAGTACTAGCATTTGCATCTCTGTGCTATTCAAAAATATTTGAAAAAGAACAAAAGGTTGAGATTAGTTGCCAAGAATTCTGACAGTTGCAATCTTAAAAACACAGCATTAAAATGTTATATTCAGAGAGCTCAGGCAGCAAAATACAAAAATACTTCATTTGCTCCCAGTGTAGTAATCTTTGCTTTTCTGCTGCAATGTACATCTCTGTTTACACAATGTTTCTCCAGCTCATTTTGATCATTATCCATCACAGCGCAACTATTTATCGGCCTTCAAACAAGCAAATGAGTGTGTGTGTTTAAGGAAGCTGAAGTGCAATTAATGACATAGTCATTTTTCAATTTATGGAGGTTTTAAGCCATTTGATAGTTTCCAGACCTGCAAGCTGCCCCTTGCAGAAAATTTTCAGAAGATAGCTGCCATCTGAAGTTAAGCACCTTGGAGGCATGAGCAATGTAATGTTAAGCAGAGCTGCATACTCTCAATTTCTTCCTTATGCCTGTACTATCTAGTACATTGGCTTTAAGGAGATTTTTCACCAGATGAAGACATATCTTCTGATGCACCAAAATAAAAGGCAAAGCCTACCAAAAATGTTGCTTTCTTTCACGAGTCACGATAACCCCATCTGCTCAGCAAATGCTGATTTAGGAGTCCAGCTTCAGAAAGCCAAATTTGAATATATGGGACATGCAGCATTAACATCTGATTTCAGACTCAATCATCCCTACTTTTTCATGGCAAATGATGAAGGGAAAATAAAATGCCTAATCACTGTGAAAGATGCTAGAGAGAGTGCTTTTTAAAATGTAATTTCAGACCAATTTCTGTCTAGTCATGGTCCAATATCTGGTCCAATATCAAATTGCTCAGGAGGTTCTCACAGAACTAATTTCTTGGTCAAACATACTTTCTCATCCACCTTCTCCCTATTAGACATTTATTACGTATCTTTAAGAATCACTTGATATCACAGTTACTTAGTTTTTATTTAGGCACTTCCAACTCAACATCACATTTTCTTGTCTTCTCTTTCTTTTGGTGTATTAATTTTAGCTTTCTTTAACAAAGCAACTCAAAGAGAAATACCTCACTTGAAGAAAAGCCATATTCTCAAAAAGATGCATTTCTGTCATTTCCTGCCAAGCCACATCTCTATTTGCTGTCACTATCTATAGACTTGTTAACAACTCAGACAGCAAAAAACTTCCCATTCCTTTCCACATCCCTCAGCAGGTTCAAGTAGAACTTTCGAGTTCTTTGACATTACAATTCCTTACAATCCTGATTGATATCTTCATTATTCTCGTCATACATTTCTGTAAAAATTCCCTAAAAATCTGCAGGTAAGTCTTTGACATGTGAAAGAGATTTTCACCTGCTCCGACAAACTGAAGGTACTACTAACATCACTTAAGAACACACATGCTGCTGCCATTCCACTTCAATGCCAACATTATGTTTAAAACTCCGACAGATAGCAATGTGCTTTGATGTTAAGAATACACTGATTTGTACTGAAGACAAAGTGAACTTGGGAAACAATAGTACACTAAATATGAAGGGTACCAAATACAGGACAAAGGACACATGATTGTGTTTCATAAAACATGAAACTTGACACAGCCATCAGTATTTTTCTTTAACTAAAAATATTCTTAATCATGATCTTCCTTTTCACTGACCTCTCCATTTTTTTTCCTGATCTTTGCAAACAAAGCCTGGAGCATTCAGAAATTATTGCTGAGGCTTACTGAAAGATTTTTTTCTTTTCTTTTTTTTTTTTTTTCTTTTCTTTTCTTTTTTTTTTTTTTACACACTTATCCAAGTGTTGAGAAATTTGATGAGTGATTGCAATCATCTAGAAGTGGTAAAAATCTCCATATTTATAACATGTCCACAAGAGGCACTTAAGTGTGAGAAATATAATATAACCATCTGTGCTACAATTACATCTGTTTTGCTACTATGCCTTTAATTCTTCATCATCACTATTTGAAATCCAATGGTGTCTAACAATGCCACCCAAAACAAAGAATAGAAGTTCTTACTATTGTGCAATTTGTAAATATATTTCAAATCTTCTTAGTTAATACTTTTTTTTTTTCACTTCCAAGATTTCAGAAGACTCACTTTTTTTTCTAGATTGAGATTGGCATTAAATTCCATGTTTTCTGTTCGCCAAAAAGCACATCTTTAAAAGTGTATTTGAAAAAATGCCTGTCCTTTTCAGCAAAAAGTAACAGTATTTTCATGAAGCATGGTATACAGACGAATCTATTCACCTATCCTGTTTTCATTATTATTGGTACAATACATTGAAAAATATAAATACAAATTGGTTAAAAAAATTATCTCAGATAGACTTTTGTTTGCTTAACTTTTAATCTTACCATTTAGTGTGACAACACAATTTAAATGTCTAAAAAGCCCTTATGCTACAATGAAAGTGCAATGGGCAGGAAATAGATTACGCAGACTAGGGCTATCACATCTGATTATAGAGATTTAGACAAAGGGGAAAAAAAAAGTGACTTCACAACTTCAGTGAGCACGCTGTGACTTTTCATGAGAGTGCTCCTCACCTGCTGCAGTACATGTCTCTCTCTCAATGTCATTAATCTTCTGTGGAGCTCTACTAGTTCATCGAGATATGCCTAGAAACAAATCCCCCCCCATAAACAACTTGTTAACAAAATCACAGGCATGTATTTCAAAAAATCCAGATACAAAAGGAAATTTTATTGTACACCTTCCTTAAGCAAGATTTTCTTAATAAGCAGGCTAGTTTTCTTAAGCTTCATACTACCCACATATAAATTTTTGTGGATTTTCTTAGATACTTGATGACACTGAAAATTTTAAGGTACTTAAATTTTAATGGGAGAGCCACCTCTTCCCTTTGAAAGCTAGGTGGCCTTTTACTTCAGAAGAAAATATTTCCATCTCAGCTATGGCAAACAGTATGTGACAGACTTGAACTGCCCAAGCATATTTAAAAAACATCTCCCAACTTTCCAGATAAGACACAAGACAGAAGTTTCACAACTGATTTCCTCTCTTCCTCTAAAGCTGAATAATGAATTTTCTGCATCAACAGAGAGACATAAGGGGAGAAAGATAAAGAAAAATTAATCCACTAGCAACTTTCACTTTCTTAATTCCTGGGGCATCACATATGTCCCATCTGACCACCCAAGTATCAACTGTCTCCTTCAGTCTGAGACATCAAACACCATGCTTGCTTTTAAGCCCAGAGAAATGTGGCACCCTGCTTAAGAAATTAAAGAAGCGTATGGATCATAATGCTGAAGATCCAGTAACAGATACTGCAGCACTGGTTGCCTACATCATATTAGCACAAAGAAAATACAACATTACACAAAATTTAAGAGGAACTTGTCTATACTGGGAAATAACAATGTTCTCTCTCAAAAGGATTGAGAACTCTTAGCAATGACCAGGTGACATGATATTGAACAAAATCACCTTTCTAAGTGGTAAATTGCTTCACATCATCTTGGTTAATGCCTTAAAACACACTGCCATTCCCTAATGCACAATACCATAACATGATTTAGTAAATTGATTTCAGTTGTTTATTGACTAAAAATACTATTGTAAAGCTTCCTGTTCAAAAACCATCATTTCATCTGAAAAGCACAATGTAAATTCATGCAGGAGAGTAGCCAAAGTAAATAGTTTATGGCAGATTCTCATCTGATGATATTTACTAAATCTCTACATGTTTTGAAGAGAAGGAAAGCATTTTCAAAATAGCAGAGAAGAAAGAATTACAGGAAAAAAAAAAAGAATAATCTCCACTTTAAGGAACCCAAAGCAAAGATGTTGCAATGACAGGCTTTCACTCCAACAAGAAGTATTTTGTTTCTAGTAAATACATAAATATTAAATAATTTGCTGTAATTTTGTTGGCATTTACCTTATCACAATCACCATTCTTTATTTGTTTATCAGATTTGTTTTGCTTTATTGGACTTTTCACTTCTAAAATCTGGAAAAAAAAAAAGAAAATCCATTAAAAAATAAATGCATAATTGAACACAATTACATACAAAAATTCTGCTGTTAATAACACAAAGAATAAAGCATCTGGAAAAAAAACAATCTAAACTCAAAACCAGGCTTTTCATTACTTCTTACTTAATTCAAACAACCTGCCTTTTTTTTTTTCTTCCAGAAAAAAGCTGAAAATGCCAAGTTGCTGCATTGAAGTGATACTGACACCATTAATCTTAAAAGTAATTAATTTCATGTTACTTAACCCCTTCTCAATATTTCTTTTCGCATTTTTTCCATAGCTGGTAGGAAAAGGTCTGATTTTGCAGGTACAAAATTATGCTACAGGACCCTCTAGCATCTTTGAAGTGACACGTATCAGTATATTTTCCATGAGTTTTCATGCAAGGCTCTTTTCTTCTACAGTTCATATTCTAAAACTGTCTTTGAAATGACTGCAAGAGTTTTAACTAAAAGTAAGAACACAAGAAAGTAGCCTGTCTTGCAAGTATACGTACTTTTCTTTCAATGGGAAACAGAGCCAGTTACTGCCACAGATATGAATAAAGAATGCTTGAACAAGCAACAGAATATCTCGCCTTACATGAAAATTTTAGGACTCGAGTGAGGAATAACTTGAGGAAATAAAACTGCAGTTTAATTTCTAGGTATAGAAAACATTTTCTGAAGCTACAAGTAGAGTTATTGAAACACCATGCCATTCCTAACCTGCAATTCTGTAAAACAATAAAAAAATACATATGATCAAAGATGGAGATTTTGTTTCACATTTCCTTATAAATAACCCAACATTAATAGCAGCATTTTCTCCAAACCCTCCTGAGCAGTCACAACACAATACAAAACTAAGTAAATACAACAATGGAAACAATGCCTGCCAAAATAAATAAATAAATAATTGTGTTCTAGACTACCCAGAAGCTTCACTGACAGCTATCTTAAAGTTCCTTCCAATTTCTACTTTGCTTGGCATAAACAGCTAGAATTGTATATATGTTTCCCAGGACAACCAACACCATAAATATACAGTGGGACAGGCAGCTACTTCCCTGCAGAAAGAAAACGACTGAAGAACTGAGTTAGCCTTACCTAAGGATTTACTTAGCCAAAAGCAATGCATGGCCAGAAAGTAAGATGTACTTTTCTAAAGAAAAATCTCAGTTCTTTGATTCAGCATGTACAGTATAGGCCAGTGGAAAAAAGTGTCTGGTCTTTAAAATCAAACTCTAGGCATGGATCTAGTAGCTTTTAGATACTCTTCTTGATGTTAAAAAAAGAAAATTCTTTATATTAGATAGAAACTCAGCAAGGACATACTGTATTTGAAAAAGCTGCTTTCTTAGAGTGCTCTTGATGCATAATTAAAATGGAACATCTTGTTTGAATGAGATAAAGCACTAAAAGACACTTTTAGCAATGTTAACTTGTTCTATAAATAGACTTATTTTAACACAAGCCTAATTTCATCAGGTAAAAGAATGATCCTAGTAAGCAGCTTTACACCACCAAGCAGAGATTTCAATTGCAACTATGGCCCACACAATTTGAACTCTTGTAACAGAACCATAGAATCCTCAGAGTTGGAAGGGATCTTTAAACTGCCCTGCAATGAACAGGGACATCCACAGCTCAGTCAGGTTGCCTAAACCTTGATCCAGCCTGACCTTGAATGTCTCCAGGGATGGGGGATCCACTACATCTTTAGGCAATCTGTTCCAGTGCCTCACTACCCTCACTTTAAAATACTTTTTCCTTATATCCAACCTACATCTACCCCCTTTATGTTTGAAATAATCTCCCCTTATCACCACAGACCCTGCTAAAGAATCTGTCCTAATACTTCCATAAATTTCAGATTCTCAGATCAGTTGTAAAAATGCAAGGAAATGAGAAATTCCATTTTAGCTAGCTCACTGCTACTGGTTTAGAGCATCTAGATAGGCAAGTAGACATATATTGTTAGTACAAAAAAAAGAAAGGAACATGAAATACATGACTGAGTGAAATGTTGCGCATTAGGACTTATGTTTATGGACTTAACATTTATATTACTTCTTTAGAAGTATACATCTTCATTACACAAAAAAGAATTGAGACTTACGTACAGATGATCTTAGAAAAAATCTATAGAATTTGTGGTGGATAATAAGAATGCTTTTTGGTCAAGGATCCTCTTTCCTTTGCTAAATACACAACCTACTCCATAGGTTTTTTTCCCCTCCAACATAGATTTGACTTTAAGTGACATAAATAATGCCAACTTTTATTGAAATGGATTGAGTACTCTTTCTGTGAAGATTACTGTATCTTATAGTAAAGGAAAAAAACCCTCCATCTTCAAGTCAGAAACTGGTGAGGGAGAGAGGAAAAGCAGAACGCACAAACTCATGAGATTAATCCTATTAATTTCAACTGGTTCTAATGCTAAAATAAACCAAAAAATAGTATGAACTGTACAACTGATGTTGTAAAGCCAGTTTAGACTGTTTAACCTTATGATGTTAATTCATATGCAATGAACACACTCCTTATAACAGAGACAGAAATGATAATTTGCTCTTACAGTATTTTCTAAACCGAATATTTCTCCATCTCCTGAAAAAAATGGTTTTGTCAATTTTCAGATTAAGTGACTTCATTTAAGTAATTAAAGCATTATATGAATTTCTCAGGTGCAAGGCATGCTCCATGTGAGGCTTGCATTTATGAATTCTGACTTTACCTGGTTGCTGTTAGTTTTTAATAAAGGTGGTGCTGGTTCATGACGTAGTGGTGAGGAAGCTGAATTGCTGTCACTGTCACTTCCATCACTCAGACTCACCCTATGGAAAAACAAAGGCAAGAGATTACACTGCCAGTCAAAGGGCTGCTTACAGGAATGAACCAAGCTCATATTTGAGGGAGGAGGCCAAGAATAAACCCTTTACTATGGAAGTTATTATTCAAAGTAAATTGGAAAAGTGCTGCTCAGTAGCACAGCGGCATCCAAGTAAGGCAGCACTGTGGAAAAAGTCCAATGTAGCATGGCATCCTTTTCACTGGGCTGAGATGTCACTGTCCAGCTAACCACAGTTAACATCTAGAGAAAGAATTAAATATTTTTGAAATATTTATGCTGTTTCCATCATAAGTGGAGTGAACAGACACATGAAAGAGAGATGATATTTTTCAGAAATATTTTTCTACTCTTGTAAAAGCTTTATAAAAGCTATACTTTTGTTTGGAAAATTGCTTCAATTAACAGTTATTTGTTTTTTGACATAAATAACATTATCTTTCCTGGCTAAAATTTAAAAACTTGGTATCTCAGGATATGTAAAGGCCATGTAAAAAAGTTCTTATTCTAGTCAGCCTTACCCTTCATTTACTGAGGAACAACAGGAAATATTTGCTAATTGGAAGAAAAAAATACAGTTATTCAGGATAAAAAGAAGTTAGAAAAACACAGCCTTGAGTTTTGTTAAAAATAGAAATAAAATCTCTACACTGAGATTAAGCTGAGCCTAAGAATCCTTCCTAGAACATGACCTGATATGAACTCTCAAACTGCTAGGCTTCTTGCCGTTTTTTTCCTGTGATTTCAGCTGCTAAAGTGTTCCAGAGAAGTAGTTAACCTTCACTAATACTTGCCTATTACCTTCCCATTTAGACCAGTTGCTGACAGAGTTGCTCAGGTGCTATGAACCCACAAATGGTAGAACAAGCAAAATGTTTTGGAGCAGATAAAGCATCCACTATGAAAAAGCTTGAGGGACTCTGGGATTCAGCAGAAAGAGCTTTCAGCTGCCTGAAAAATAGCTGACTTTTGGAATGCCCTCATGAAATGGTAGCTAGGAAGCAGAACCCCTTTTTGAGAAATAAATTCTGTGACTGACAATTGCTTTACCATCTGTCTGCACTATTACTTATTATTTACGATATGCAGTGCAGAAATTGCTCGGAATTCAATTTCACTGATTCTGATCCAATTTAACAACTTTAAGCTGGTAAGCAGAGGGGTCGTGACAATGTGACATTATGTACAGGCTGCTCATTCAGCAATTAAATGACTTAATTTTATCTTTTATACCGGAGAGTAATTACAACTGCTCTCTGAAGTCAAAGGCATGAAACAAAAGTCAGATGAATGTGGTTCATCATATCCATGTGGATTTGTATAGAAACAGTTTGTTGTGGGAATGGCTGATTCTAAGAGTTTTTTGTTTGTTTGTACATCCTTTAAAAATAAGAATCTAAACTCTGTCCATTTGCTACTCAGCACTCTTTGAGAACATTAGACTTCTTTCCACTAATAACAAGAAAATGCTTTAGCCACCAAAATATCTGCCATCAAAAGACGCTCACCTGCGACTCCTGCTTCCTCCTCGTGTATTTACAGGTCGTTCCAACTCAGAATCATTATCATTGTCATCTGGTTCCTCTGATTCATCTTCATTATCATCCGAATGCAGATCTTTCATTATAGACCTCAATGGACCTGAAACAACAGAAACAAACAAGTAAAAAAAAAAGCAAAAAAGCAAAAAACAAAAAAACAGGCAAATGAAATTCACTTTGCAGTGTGATTACCCAGATTTGTAGATAACAGAAGTGACCTTTCCAGCATTGTACTGGGAGGGAAGAGTCAAATATTAAACAAATGAAGTAATGCACTGGGGGCTTATGCTGCTTGCATTTATTTTGAATCATTTATTTACATGAGCAACACAGGAAGCTGCAGGAGACTTACTCATGACAATGAAGTGACTTGTGTTCAAGTGTTTGCAGGTTTGGTCCCCTGGAACATAGGCGAAGTAAATAAAATGCTGTTACAAACAGGCATTCTCTATGCGTATTTTAGTTTAGGAGAAATTTACTATACTATTATTATTAGAAGCAAGATTATTTTACATTGCTAAGTTTCAGTTTTTCTTACTTTGTCAAAGGGTATTACATGCCAGTACAGATCTACAGAGACCTACTGGTAGTGGTGTACTTGTTAGGTTAAGCAAAGTCCAATAAATCATTCTGACTGTAACTTGTACTTGTGAAGATAGACTTTGTCTTCCTGTTTTTGATAAACTTAGATTTAGTAGCTCCCCTTATTTCAGGCTCAATTTCAGGTCAAGTAAGCACTTTGCTGATGTTCATATGTAAAAAATAAAAATAATTAAATAAAAATTATTTTTTTAAAAAATCAGTAACTCTCCAGCCCAGGAAACACAAGTACTGATACGAATGAACTCCCCAGTGTTCTTCCAAAGGGAGATGAACCTTTCCATTCTGTGTTAGCTAATGGCTGAACAGAGCCAAGGAGCCAAAAGAACAGACAAACATCTCTCTGCCTGACCCCCTAACAATAAGGGTGTTCCCTCCTCAGGAGTAATAGCTTTGTGGATTACCCAAAACCTGGCAAAGCACAGGTCAAATAATTTTGACCAGTTTTGCATATCTGACTTCAAAGCCACTGCTGAGTATGGTTTACAACTAAGCCTGCACAAGAAAATTTGTAAGTTGAGGCAGTTTGGGCAAGGTTTCTTTTATGTTTGCATACCTTGAGGCTGGATGGCAGCAGGCACAAATGATGCTGCTGGGCCTGGTGGACCAGACACTCACACAGACCACAAGGGAAGGCAAGTTACATAGAATTCTTGTCTGTACAACCACCTGATCTGCAGAAGCAGCTGAGTTGTGCTTTGCTTTCTGTTTCTGTGTATCAGACAAACAGTGCTTAGATATTTACAAATGCTAAGTTGGAGACTGATTATCTAATCACTTGACACCCTGGAAAAAGGCTCCCTCCAATTTTAATAGGAGCAGTAGCGATTTTCCTCTGAAACAGAGGGGAAAAAGCACTCTCAAGAGTGTCAGCACATGGCTGAAGGAAGAATCTGCCTATTTCCAACTTTTGCAAAAGCATTCTTACTGAGAAGTTTAGCTGTTGGGATGGAAAAATGAGAGACAAGGAATAGGGGGCTAAATTAATTGAAATGAAAGGTAAAGGAACATTAAACTGCAAACATACAAAGAAGGAATATATGTTTAAAAATAAATAAAAGGGAAGAATGGTATTTCCCACAGGCCAGCTCTAACCTAGAAAGGCTAGTTTCCTTACCGCACAAAGAGATACTAATAACTACTGTAGAAATTCTGCTGAAGACAGTAGTCTTCTGTCTGTTCTGGCAGCAGTGATGTCCTGCTCCAGTCCATAGGCCAAAGTCAGCTCTTCAGAATGTATTCATCTCCTCTCCACAAAGAGGAAAAAAAAAAACCAGAAAAGACTAGATAAAAATGTGGATGAAAGAAAAGCTCTTTAAGGAAAGATTAGAGAAGAAAGACAATGACATGGAAGTTAAAAGTAATCAACCAAAACCCAATTTCGTAAAAATATTTAGTGTCACAAAAATAGTTCACCTCGCATTAAGGACCAGCACATAACTCAAAAATATGGAAACTGGTAACTGGGCTGGCAGTGAGTTGGAAGACATTCCAAACAACAGTCCTTGATTTTATTTTTAAATAGAAGAAAAACAGCACACATACAACATGCTCCCCACATAGCCTGTCCTCCCAGGTTTGAGCTAATTCATTATCCCTGTCTTTTTTCCAAGTGCAGCAGAGGGCCACTTCATCTTGTTCCATGCTGCTTTCTGGGACAGAGTCCCATCTCAAGCTGGAAATGGGCTTGTTCTTCTGTCTTGAAGAAAAATGAATGCAGACTCCTGACAAACAGCCACAACTGACATCCCCAGCCAATCAACAACCTGCCATTCAAATATGCTTTCACTGAATGGAGGATCAGGACTGCAACTCTGAACAAGACATTTCGTACCTAGCTGACTTCAGTCGGTCTTCTTAGCAATCTGCAAAGTGTTAAAGTCTAGCTCTGGTAGTCACACTGCCATTAGTACTTTGCTCCTTGCTAGTACTTAAGTTACTTTTTTTGGTTTTTTTTTTTTGAAGGGTTGTAGAAGCTGTTCTCTCCAAAAAGGTCAGAGTGGCTCACAAGAAATTGAAAACTAAGAGCTGTCCAAGAGAAAATATTCTTGGCAAGAAAACACAGAGAACCCAAAGTAAGCCCTGCGGGCAAAAGAACTTGAAAAAACTTCAATTAGCCCAATGTTTACTCAAAAAGTGGTGAAAAAAGTCCATCTTGCAGTGGTTCTGACAGTTGAGTGAGCACTTGATTCTGAACCAAAAGGAAAAAGAGTAACAGGCTTGTAAGTTTTAGTTAGAGAATAAAGCATGGGTTTCCACGAGAGCACAACATACACAGGGCAAACATATCACAGTATGCCTAGTGCTTCATTCCTTGCTATACAAATGCACAACCTGGGCAACAGATGTTTTTAGTTAACTGAAATTCCCAGTAAGAAAGCGTAATTGCTATTTACTGTGACAAGGAATCAAAGAGGTATGTAATACATGTACTTTAAAATAGTTCCCATCAGAGGAAAAATTTCCCATCTACCCTTCTGAAGGTACAGAAATGAAAGACAGTCTGTGATTTGCCTTATATATGACCCAGGAGAAACTGATGAATAGTTTGCTCAGAAGAAAAAACTAATCAACAGGATTTTTCCCGAAATAAGGTTCCCTAACAGGAACACTGGTATCAAAACCTGCTGGATTGTCATAGACAGCTCACAGCACTAATGATGTTTTCATAACTGCAAAAATGGGGTTTCATCAAGAAAGGGTTTTGTTTAGCATTCATTATAAAAAAATGCCTAAAGCCAGCCATCAGCCACAGTTCATTTCAGCTCTTGCTTTCTTTCACCTGCAGTAATGCTGCCAGAAACACATTAGAAATTCAGTACCAGTCACCTTCAGAAAAGGTAGCAGGGCAGATACAGATCATACTACATAAACCTTTGTAAAAACAAACTGTCTGCCTGAGATACTGATGTATTTCCATAACCTTAAAAGCAAGTTGACCATTGAGGAATATAAATAGATAACACAAATGCAATTTTAATTAGCCAAAAGGCTGGGTTTTTTAACGCTTCTGTATCTGAAGGACAAAACAAAAGCTGATTAAGAATGTATCAGTTGTACAACCTTACAAAAGCAGGGAAAAATGCCAAGGTGAGAACTAAGTAGTTTAATACATCGTGTATAATGAATCTCAACTGATCCACAGAAATATTCCTTCGGCAAGCTCACTGAGAATAAGATTGCATTTCCTTCCTGAGGTCTGAGTAAACTGTATTTATTAGCCAGAAAGCCAAAAGGCAAACTTAACGTCAACTTAAAATATAACCATATTCTTCCCCAGTCACACTTCCAAAGGAAACACTGTATGCTCTTAAAATCTGATTATAATACAGGAGTATCATGACCCTTTGAATGGGCCCACATACATACATCCTTGTACTTTCCAAAGAAGCCATGTTAGCCTGAGCAGGGATCCGGATGGCACACAAGTGCCATATGACATAACCCTGCAAGAGACAGCTTCAAGAAGAGAACCTCTTTTGGATTTGGCATAAAAATTGACTGGCGCATACCTAGTGCTTCAGAATAGTCTTTGTGCCCTTTTCTCAGAGAGATACACATCTTCTCCCCTTTTATTCTGCCCTTACAGTCAGATTTGTAAACACTTGAGGAAAAGCCTTTAAAGAATAACAGTGGCCAATTCAGCCTATGAAATTCAGTAGAAAAGTGATAATGAGATGCCATCAGTCTGTTTTTATTGGCTCATTGATTTCACATGTTCTTTTCATTTTTTTTCCCTTCCTGGGTACCTTGTTGTCTGCTGTTTTGAGATGGTGTAAAACTGGAACTGGAACTGGAGCTGGAACTGGCAGGACTGGGCTGTTCAGACTTAAAAGAAAAAAAAAAAAAAGAAAATAAATAACATCATAATGAACTTTTTTTTTTTTTTTTCCCCCTAAAACACTTACTGTTAGCTACTGCTTAAGGCATCCTGCGAAGAAAATAGAACTCCTGAACAAAACAATATTTTCAGATCTTTGCTTCAGGTGCCAGCAAGCCAAACAATATAAAAATTGCTAAACGCTCAACATACATACGTACTATATAACACACAGTGCTTTAGTAAAGTATAAATCCCAACATGAAGTTACTATGTTTGAGAGGCTCTACAACATGTAAGTCTAAATGAGTTTATAACAGAATGCATGGACATAAGGCTACTTAGCCCTGCAGTTGCAACGTTTTCCAAATAAATAATGCTTTAGTGGAACATAGAAAGAAAGACCTGAGCAGATCAAGCAGAAAACTCCAAGCAGTTTTCTTTCAACTTCCTTAGAAAGTAAGTCTTAAGATGACCAGCTAAACAAACTTTTCTGTTGTTAACTGATTTCCTCTTACGCTAATATTTTTCTTACATAGTGAGGTCCTATAAACTGCAACAGTGATTAAACTAGAAAGACTGCATTATTACACAGGAAAATTATTCTAACTCATTGAAAACCAGATTTTTATATCTCTTTAGAATAGAGTCATTAACATAACTTTACGTGATTTTACAAGCAGTTCCATATGTAGTTTTCCAGTGCTCTTTAAACTATATTCTTCTCTGAAATTCGTAAAAATTTCTTAGACAAATTTATCTGTTCTGATTATTGTTCTGATTGTTCTGATAATTCTTGCCTCCTGCTGGTATATTCTATGCCTCTATACACTTCTTTTGTGGTATGTCAGGTTTTAGGTATGTACACACACACACAACTGCATATGAGAGAAGAACAAATCTGGTATATGGGCATAGGGAATGCTAACAAAACACAAAATAGGAAATGTCCTGTTCACACAAAGAATGGTGAAATTTGAAGCAAGAAGTAATAATAGAAAAATCTACTACTGAAAATAAAACCTGCTTAATCTTATACAGTTGCATTGCTTTGAATTGTTATCTAGGTAAATCAAAGATTTCTGTTTCTCCTTGCCTATACAATAACCCTTGTGATTTCTCTAGAACTAAATCCTTCTAAAAAACAACAGCAGTAGTATGCAGTCACAGTTGTCTTTTCTCCATAAAACAATCTATTGTTGGTATTCATAAGGAGCAGGCAGATTTACAGCATCTTAGTGCCTTTTCTCACACTGAAAGATGCCTCTCTGGACAGCAGAATGTTTAAGAAAAACACCATTGAGATCTACTCTCCTGAAATGTAAGCTTTCACAAAAAAGAAAAAACAGTCAAAATACAAATTCTAGACAAAGACTCATAGAATCATTAAGGTTGGAAAGACCACTAAGATCATCTAGTCTAACCATCAGCCATGACTGAATGGGTATACATCATTTGTATACATGCAAACCAAACCTCTGCTGGGAAACACAACCCAAAAACTATAAAATCCCTTTCTGACTAACAAGTTTGATTCTAATTTTGTTGACAGGACTGGACCATTTTGGAAGATATGGCAGTATCACCTGACACTTGTTAAAAAAATCATTTTCTGAAGCAAATTTTTTTTTTTTTTAAATCGCTGGAATTTTCTACAGAATCATTTATTTTTTCCTGCCTGGATTTCTGAATTTAGCTGTAAAATAAGTTTGATGACATGATACAGACTGTACTGGTAAAGAACAGGAGTTAATGCACTTACTACAATTCTGGAAACTAATTTCAGCCTTCTAGTTGCAGGTTACCTTTACACATCTGGTTTGTACGCAGCAAAATTACTGGCTGACAGCCAGCAAGGTTTCCATTAACTGCATTTTTTTCCTTTATTAATATTCACATGAACTGTAGCATACATAAAATCCATTCTTTTAAAAAATTCCAAACACTAATGACATTATATTCAATTTAAAGTGCTTTAAGAATTTCTAAAACCGTAGGAAAAAAAAATGCACCTACGTAGAAACATTTACTTGTAAAATTCACCATTTTCATTTTGAACTAGTTTACTAAAGAGGGAAAAGGCCTGATTATGAAATCCCTGCAAACGTTTTCTCCAATCATTATCTTAAGCAAAAGGATCACAAGCAGGAATAGCTAAGAATAGACATAACATTGGTATAATACCCTCCTGATAAAATGTCCTCCTTGCTTCAGTAAGAGCACTTTGAGAGGTCAAACCATGGAAACTACTAATGAAACACAAATCATCCCTTCTCTTTTGAAAAGGATTCTCAATGCCACTTGAAGCCATTATTTTATTAAACTGCCCTACCTGAAAATTTACTCCAAGACATTCAGATTAGCACATATATGTAAGAAGTGTTATTTGCTGGGAAAAAAAAAAAAAAAAACTGAGAAAATGAGGATGTGATTGCATCTGAAGGGTAGTGCAGGCAGTTGATTTTAACATGAGAATGAACATCATTAAAAGACCTGCCTTTTAGAAGGAGCTAAAAATCTTCCTTCCATATATAAATATGGATTAGTCTGCATAGCATTGACTCTTCTTTTTACCAGAAGGTATCTTCTGTCACTTAACCAAGGCTTTCTGACAGCTTTACAGGATCCCAAGAGCTTAGATATTTATAGCTTTATTCTCTTCAGTTTTCTGCTCTTATCCACTAGTTACCAATCACCAAGTAGATTTTTTAATGGGTCTGAAATGAGCAAAAGGGCATCCTTTAATGATAGAAACTTAAGACAGGACCAGCAAAGAGCTTCTGTCGTACATCCTTTTCCTGTTTTACTCGTTTTCTCTTCCTGCAGACAAGCTACTGAGAGCTCGGACCCAAACTGCTCATTAGTGCAATGAACTGATATAATTTATTGCACTCAGTTTATTCCCTTTTACTGCTCTCACACTGATGTACAGGAGACACTGCCTTCTTTATTAGGCCCAGCAGAGGGATTCTGTGTTTTGAAACTGGCAAGAAAAGAAACTTCTCTCTGGCTCAAGTTTTCCTAGAAAAGGTACTTTTTTTGACTGGTTCTAAATCTCCTGGCTTCAGGTAGTTCAAAACATTTTTATTTGCTTCTACAAGTTGGACAGTGATTTATTCTCAGGCAAGAAACAATTTTAAGGTGAACTCACCTGTTTATGACATTCCGTATAAAAGGACTGTTTCTATAATATTTTGTGGTTACTTGGAATCATATAACAATATTAAAAATAAAGCCCATCATTTAAAGCTGTTTATTCACATTAGAAAAATAGAAAGTATCTCCATGTGGATGACATAGGCTCTTCATGCCCTCCTCTGAACTACTACTACAAGAGGACTTTGCATATTACTTCATATTACCACAAAATAAAGATCTGCAGTAATATCCCACATCCCATCACCAGTCCACATATTTTCTGCTTTTATGCACAACAGTCCTAAGACCGAGGTTTCCCTGTACTGAACATAGTGAGAAGTTAAAGCAATCAGAGTATTATTTGCATTCCCATTTTGTCCAAATTTTCTTCTCAAGAAAGGGGAATAATGCCCTAAGAGATGCCCTCTTCTGTAATGGACTTCTGGACTTGCAACTTCTACTGCCTCTCAGGGGCCTGTCATCAACCACCACTTCAGCTTTCAAGAGAGTAATCATAGCCATCTGTAGCTCTACGGAGAGAACAGCAGAGTCCACCAAGTGTCCGTATCTGTCACAGCCAAGGGAAGACACTATTTCAGCATCCATGGTTCTGTAAGCCCGCACCCAGCAAGCTCTATACCACCATATTTCCTCTCAAGCAGGAAACTACAATTGCAATTAACCTGCCAGGCAGGGCAAAACTGTTCCTTTGTATAACCAATGAGGAAAGCCAACTTACAGAATGCAAGCTCACAGAGAAGATGGAAGTAAGAGCGTACTGAGCAAAAAGTTGAATTAATTCTATTCTTATAGAACAGGAAATACTTATTTCTAACTATGATGTTTAAAGAACCAAAAAAATGATTGAGAAAAGTAATTTGAGGTGTAAAATCTTAACAGAAAATGCAAGAATATTTGTTTTGGAGAGAACAGGTAACTAAAATGGAAGTTGATCAATACAATAAAAACCAACATACAACTCACATACCAACAGAACCTTCTCCTGTGTATTACTGTGTTATTCACCTTAAAAAAAAAAAAAAAATCGCATGCCCACATACAAATACATACTAATGTGTGGAGGACATTTTACCAATTAAAACAATCATTTGGCAGAACATGTGACCTACAATTAGCTGCCTTAATTATTTATAGTCTTGTTTCTTAAAAAAATTCTTAATGAATTGATGGGGATGAGCCTGTTTGTTTATTAAGTTGACCCTGAATCTGCTAAATGAGCAATACAATGCTTCTCCAGGATCATCTCTGGGGAGAAAATAAGTAAGAGAAGCTGAATGTAACTGTAATCTAAAACATGCAGCCCTGGGGATGTTTGGCTCTAAATCAGCATTACATCCTATCACCAGTAGATAATACTAAGATTCTCCAATTCTAGTACTTAGAAATATTTCATAATACTTGTAAATTCTTTTGAGGGAGAAGGATACCATGAAATGAATGCTATACTGATCAGAATAAATAATGTTAGAATTAATGCATACTTCGGAATACAGAAGCAAAGATCCAGGGACAGTGATAACTAGTCAGTTCCTTCTCAAAGAATGGCAACGTAAAGAACACTTTCAACAGCTTTCTCCTCTGTACAAGTCTCTGCAGAACTGGAGGGGTTGGAAGGGACCTCTGGATATCCCCCAGTCCAAGCCCCTGCTAAAGTAGGTTTCTTACAGCAGGTTGCACAGGAAAGCATTCTGACAGATTTTGAATATCTCCAGAGAAGGAGACTCCACAACCTCCCTGGCAGCTTACTCCACTGCTCTCTCATCCTCACAGTAAAGCTTTTCCTTATGTTCAGGTGGAACTTCCTGAGTTCCAGTTTGTACCCACTGCTCCTTGTCCTGTTGCTGGGCAC